CAACAACAAAAAAGATCCCACTCACTACACAAAAATCTAAAAGAAGAAAAGACACACTAACCATGTCATTAGGCCAATTAACTCGGTGGTTCAGGGAAAACTATGACTTTAAACCTCCAAACCAAGAAACCAAATTCCAGGAGAGTTTTGGTTGTTTACAAGCAGCCTCAGTAGGTGCGTTTTTTTTTTTTTGTTTTGGGGTTAGTTCCTTTTAAATAGTTATTTCCTAAGACTATATCTTAAAAGGTTTTTTTTTTTTTTTTGGGGGGGGGGGTTTGTCATTGTTATAAATGTAGCTATCACACAGCTCAGCTGTTGTCAATTCAACACTTACATCAATAAGTGTACAATTAATCATTGACAGTATTTACAATTGGCTTTTTCAATGTGATTTTTTCCATTAAGAGAGAAGAAACAAAGGAGTAAATCAATAAAATAAACCAAAATTTGGAAAATATTAGCCTTTTACTAAAGAAAAATTGAATAAAGACAACACTGGTTATCTATTCTAGAAAGAACATTCTGAATATTATGACATGTATTAATAATATTCTTCACTTAGCAAGATAGTCTCCTGAAAATTATTTTAGAACTGTTAGCTATCAACTATTGTTTTTCCACAAATGAAAAAGCATACATTATCTTTTCTTTTACAGTCTTAACATTAAACAATAGCTATTTTGTATATTTTAACTAATGTACTCTTACGATTTCCAAAGTCACAATGATGTATTGCAGAAAATTCAACTTGCCTATTTGTAAGAACCAGGTAGCTTTCTTGCATCTCCAGGTATTTAGAGTGTGGCTGTAAGCTCACGTGGAAGTACTTATGTTGACTCTATGGATAATATAAATCAAAACTTCTGTTCTAACATCTCACTGCTTGTATAGAGCTCATCTAAATTTTGGTTTTATTAAGGATAAACTGAATGAATACATTTTTTTCTCTATTTGAGTGTTCTGGAGTAAGAAAGAGAGCTAAAAACATACCAAGCTATCATAGACATTTTTCCATCCATCCTTCAGATTCAAGAACTCCCTACGAATAGTTTTGAAAGCAGGCAAATCATCCAGTCGACATATTTCATCCCATGACTTTTGAGGAAGCCATGTACAAGGATTAGCATAAGGATTATCCAGTCCAATGCCACCAGTTAGCAGAAATCTCCACTCATTTTTATTAATCTTTGGAAAACAAACCAGCAAAAGAATCAGAAATAAGGAAGACACATTTTTCACTCCTTTTCTATAAAACATAATGAAGTAGTGGCATAAGCTTTTACAATAAATATAAGAATAAAGCCTATATTCTTTTAGAATTCAACAGATGAATCACACCACATGAAAGCAATAAAATTTAGGCATCTGTGTATAAAAAGAGTGGATTTGCACAACACTTTTCTTAAAATATTTCCTATATTTTATATGCCTTCATCTAAAATAGCAGAGATGTATACAAGATACTACAATATATATAAGTATACAAGAAATGTACATAAGTCCAAATAGTTAGATGAGACTAACCTACACAAATTCTTAAAAAATATTTCAATTTACATTATTTGTGTAAATATATCAAGATACTTAGCAAGTTTATATGCATGATTGTATGAGACAAAAAGAAGCTATTTTAAGCTAAAACAAAAACATTTAATAGTAGCATAATGAACTCTGTTCACTTTTCACCTCTGAAATCGAAAAGTTAGTTGTGAGGTTTTTTCTGAACTATCACTGTACTATTTACAGCCTAGGCCAATTGGAAAATTAATTAGTCTACATCAATATTATGATTTTCTTTTCCTAAAAGAAAAACAATACTGACCGCATGATCGTGTATCTGCAGATTTACAGTTAGACAAAAGGAAAACAGCAGCTTATCCTTTTCAAAGAGGGACCGGCAAACATTGATATAGAGGGAATATGTAAAGTGGTCCTTGAGGATTAGCAGTCTAATAGAAAGAAAAATACATAGTAATTTAAAGACAATTCTCTTAGGAAAAGTGATTACAAATAATTTGGATGTATATTCCAATAACTTTTCTGGTCAATTACTCCCTAAGCAACCAAGAATCCACATTAACTGGATATACTAATTTGAAAGCTACACAAAATAGAAACATTTGAGTAGAACAGCATTTTACTGTCAACTGATATATTTTTTTTTTAATTTAATTTTCACTTTGGGACAATTTACATGTCTGTTTATCTGATCTATTAAAAAGATAGTGAATTATTTTTAATTACAAAGCATTTCTTGAGCAAAATATTTTTTTAAGTACCAAGTAACATTTTTATATAACTGAAATAGATTAAAATTAATAGTTCCTTTATTAAATCAACATTAATACTGTGCTCATAAATCCATAAAAGCTGAAAAAACTCACAAAATTTTAATACTTCACTTTTTTGCTACTGCATAGCCAAATCAGAAATAAATGATCACAATATTCTAACAATTTCTAGTAACTTAATATGTATAATCAATACTCATAGTCATTTTTATTATGCAACAAACACAGTACTTTAAGCATTTTTACTTAATTATATAACAAAGGAAGTATGTTATTGAAATGAAACTTTTAAAATACTATATTACATAGTTTGTAATAATTATACCAGAAGTAAACCAATGGCAACATTTTTAGGGAGCTCACAATAAACATGTATTCATATCCCAGACTTTCTAAGCTGGTCAATCTATCTGAGGGAAAACAAACAGCACAGTTTGCTTAAAATTAAGCAAAGTATACAGGCATTTCTCAATACATCTAGAAAAAAAATTACCAGTACAATCAGATATTGGTTATTTGAAGACTGATATCTCAGACTGTATAGCATCTATCTAGGCTTTTTTTTTTGCTCCATTTTTCCTTACTTTCCTATTTCCTTCCCTGTTTTATTCCCTACATGCTTTCCCATAAGGGAATTACAATAACTTGAAATATCTTCTTTCTAGTTGGGAATTCTGAACAAGGACTTGATATTGAAGGTTTTGAAAGTAGTTACTGAAACGTATTTTAATTCTGTGCAGATTTTCTTATATTTAATAGGTGGTCTGCATGCATGGCATTTAATTTGTCTCTTCTTAACAGTACAATTGGTGTTGTGTGCCATTGAGTAGGAAATACGCATAGATGATCCTCTGGCAGGTTTTTCAGATGCAGTAAATTGAAAGGAAGGCGAGAGCCCTCATTCTCTCACAGAATATCTGGTGGACTTGAACTTAAGCCTTTGAGACTGCAGCACAGTGCCTTACCATTAGACCAGTATTTCATATTTTGTCCTTCTGGGGAAAAAAAAACAAGTTTCTACCCTTTAAGACCATTCTATTATTGTAGATAATTAGCTTAAAGCTAAAAATAATAAGTGTCTACTATATTTGAAATTCAAGTTCAATCTCATCAGTGATAGAAATGTCAATGATATTTAAAGTATCAATTTATCACAATGAAAAAGAAAGCGAACATTATCCTTTTACATGCTTTCCAGTAATTATGAAATCCTTCTTACTGCACCAATCTTACACACACACACACACACACACACACACACACACACACACACTCACATTTAGATTTGTCCTTATAGATTTTTTGTTTATATATTTATTTGCTATGGGATAAAGATGGGCAATCTCCTCTTACACAATTACAGCCTCTGAAAATCCACTGACAGGTCAGCTTTGAGTTATTTCTGACTTGAGGGCACATAACAACTATTTATTTTGCTATAATAAATCCTGCTGCAGTAACAATTTTATCACATGATACAAATTATTATGATAATTTCATACTTTATCTGCCATAATATGACACTTATACTAAACAGCATTTTCTTTAAATTATAATTTAAATTTATTATTGTGTGTAACAACGAGACAACAAACAGAATTTAAAAGACATTTATTTCTCTGAGTAAAAAGAAGTGAGATTATTTTACCAAGACTAAGGTTTTAAATAATTATACAGGCTGTTGTCAATACTTAAATCTTTTTTAATTTTTGGCATAGTTGTAGTTCAACTAGTTTGCTAATGTTTTATCAATTTATTCCTAATGTTTATCAGTGACTGGAAAAAGAAAACAATCCTATGAAAACTTACTTCCATTTCTGATTTGAAGTTAGCTTACTTAATTAAAAGCTTTAATTTTAATATAATAGATTGACTAAAATATTCCCTCTTTAGAATACATTTTGGCAAGACTTACAGAAACATAACAGCTGCATAGCTTAAAAGAATTAATCCCATTTCTGGATATGTCCTATCAGAAATTTGCATTATCTTCACGATAAAACATACAAAAGACTATTTAAGCGAACATAATTCAAAATAACTTTAACCTGGAAACTATCTAAATGTCCTGAATTCTAAAAGATATAATTATTTGTCGAATATTAACACAGTGAATACCATTCAACAGTGAAAGAAAACAAACTATTGTACTACATGTAGCAATATCAATACAGTTTATGAACATCATGGTGAATGCAAGAAGTGGGGCACAAAGTAATTTATTAACCTATTCATCCTATGTGATTTCATCCATATGAAATTCTAAAACAAGTACAATAAAGTTATGGTGGTCTAACAGGGCAGTGACTACTACAGTGAGGGGAAGGGTGTTTAGTGGCTAGAACAGGAATGAAGGGGCCTTCTGAGCTATTTACAAAGTTGAGCCTTGATCAACATTCATTTAGTATATATGCACTGAACAAATAATATTAGATTTTGCATATTTCTGTATAACAAAATCCCAATAAACATTTAAGAATATTTTTTCTCTACTTACTGTTTACTTAAAATATTAGACTTCCTTAGTTAAAATATTAGATCACTTCATTCAAGTCAACCATGGTAGTGAGTTGAGTTATAATTATAGGATTAATGGTAAATTAATTAGTAATAGATAAATTAGTAAATTAAAGGATTTTACAAAAGAGGAAATGTTGTATTTTATTTAAATTGCATACAAATATCATATTTGGGTTAAAAGGATTGGATATTCTTTACTTGGTAAGGTATGAAGAAATATTGCCATGAATAAAGCAATTTTCTTCTCCAGAGTTAAAAAAAAATACCCTGATTTTAAAGTAGTTAAAATGGTAACATTCTGAGGGTGTCTGTTTTACCAAGGTAAAAATTAAAACTGACCATGAAAAGAATCAAATCATTTACTATGTGGCTAGAATGTAATTGGCAATGTACAAATGGTAAAATAAAACATAAATAAAAAATCAACTCTTTCATCAGGGAACTGAGAATGTGGTGTGAAACTCGGATATGCATACTCAAGTAATTCATTTATAATACAAGTACCTGGAAGCTTTTGTAAAAAAAAAAGTTACTTAACATTCTATTTTCTTTATTTCAGTAATCTTGACAAAACTTAGAATTTTGAAACTGGCAAAAAAGAGAGAAAAATCACAGCTTTTTTTTTTTTTGGTAAGTACCATAATACAAAATGAATTTAAAATTCTGTCACCCATGCATTCCCCCCCTTAGAGAGAGTATCTCTCTCTCCCCTTGACTTCTCATGGGTGGGAATCTGAAAACTTGTCAAGCCAAAAGCTTCATTGTCATATCTTTACTAGTCTCTTGACATCAGCTTGGGAGAAAATGAATTACAATAACAAAAAAGTCATGCTCAGTCTACGAATATTTAAAATTTCAGATCTCTATTCTGACAAATGAAAGAATCCAACTCAGATTTCAATTGAGAGTAGCATTTTGTATTTGGAAAAAAAAAGAATTCTTACTGTTTCTCTTACAACTCTGTCAAAACCAGAAAAATGTAGATTGACAGTAATCAATAAAGCTAGAAAGAGAGAAAGCTGGAGCTAATGATTTCCTTTGTTCTTGAGTTATTTCATACTACATCCTATCGAAACATGTTTTAATACTAAGCTAAGAAAATGATCTCATTAATAAAAAAGGCAAGTGGAATATTATTCTTTGTTACATTTACCATGACATATGGCCTAATTCCATTATTTCTTTTAATAGTCAACAGTAAACAAAGGGATTTCTGGTCATAATAACACACAAAAGAAGTTCTAATAACCATAGAATTGTTTTAACTCCTATGATATGACAAATATATATGAGTGCATCAGAATTTTAATTTGTTACTTTTGGAAGGGAATCTTGAGGAGGGTAAGGCTCATTACTTTTGCAGATATTAATGGCTCTTTCCAGACCTAAAATCATTCGTATATTTTACAAATGATAAGCTGCTGTAAATACTTAATCTTTGTAGAATTACATAACAACCCTACATCTCGGAACACAATTTCCTGGCAGACCAAATGTGGACACATCTGCTCAATTTTGAATCCTCTCACATCTTTCTGGTACAATGATTAATCAGGTTCATTTTAGCAAAGTGGCTCTGATGCTTTCACCCTTCTGAAACAACAATGAAATCTGCTAATCACACCCTGATTTTCATGCATTAATTAGTAATTAGTTCATATTCCTTCCACATACCTTTTTGCTAAAATGTCTGATTTCTCAGAATTTTCAATAGACAGGATGAAAAGGTTAATGAACCAGGTCAGTGAGTACTGGTACATCGGCTCGATGTTAGCTAAATCAGCAATAGAAAAAAACAGGATGGTGGAATGGACTGCGATGGGCCGATAGCCCAAGCGGGTAGCATCAATCTTTCTCTCTGTGTCTTCAGCTACCTCCTGCTTTTGAGAAATTTCAACAGCCAAAGCCTTGGAGGAAGATAATATCTTAATAGCAGTTTCATCTTCCAATATATTGCCTTCTGAAGATGAAAGAACTTCTAAAATCTTGTCTTCTATTTCTTTTAACTGCCTGAAATAAAACACAATTTTCTCAGAAGCGAAAGAAATTGTTGAAAACCACTTCACGTATATACTCTTTTATAAGAAACAGAGAGCCTGCAATCTAAAGCAGCGCATCACTTCATGACAAATATCTATCATGGCGATGTTGTATAATTAATTTCCTATCCTGCAAAATGTCAAAAATACTGTTCTTTCTGCTCCAGTTCTCTTCTTAATGATTATATATATATAGTAATTGGAGAGAAAGGTGATAAGCCAATCTATTCTGCCATCAAGAATATCATTCTGGATTGAACAAAAAGTATCACTTCATTTATTTTCTGTGATTTCTAGAGCTTCGTTCTTTCTACCTATGATTGAAATATTATGAACAAAAGGTGGAATTAACACTTTTCATTCAGACCAACTTGCAGTGGAAATGCTGCTGTTGTTAGGTGCTGACTCACAGTGACCTCTTCAACGACAGATCTGAACCTGTCCGATCCTGTGCCATCCTCATCATCTCCGACACACTGTGCCCACTGCCATCATTGCAGTCACTATGCTATCTCATCTGGTTGAGGCTCTTCCTCTCTTTTGCTAAGCTTCCACCTTCCCCAAGCATGCTGCCCCTCTCTAAGGAAGAGCCAATCCTAGCAACATGCTCTAAGTATGTGAGACGAAGCTTTGCCACCTTTACTTCCAGGAGGCATTTACTGCCTCTGAAAACCTGCTGATGGGTCAGCTACAGGTCAGTTCTGACTTGACAGCACACAACACTAACATGATTAAAGATAAGGTCGTAGGGGTGAAGCAGTGGCACAATTCTTGCCTTCCATGTAGGAGACCAGCATTGACTTTTCAAGAATATGCATCTCTTGTGAAGTCTCCACTTGTCTGCAAGTGAAGAGTTGCATTTTGCACTGATTTCCAAGATATATCTGCTTGTTCTTTTGGCAGTCCATGGGATATTCAGTACTCTTCTCCAAAACCACAGCTCAAAGGCATCAATTCTTCTATCATCCCTATTCATTGTCCAACTCTCAGATGCATAGCAAGTGAGTTTAAAGACCAAGGCCTTAGTCAGGTGCATCTTAGTGTCTAAAATGACATCAGTGCTTATCAATAATTTGGAGAGGTCCTTGGCAGCAGACTTGTCCAATACAATGTATCTCCTGATCGCCTGACTGCTGGTACCAAATATGTGGAGTGTGGATCTACGTAAGATGAAACTGTTTGCAACTTCAATCTTTTCTCCATCTATCATGAGGTTGCTTATCAGTCCAGTTGTGAAGATTTTTGTCTTCTTGATATTGAGATGTAGTTCATATTGAAAGTTGTATGCAGTCTTTAATCTTATGTATCAAGCAATTGAAATCTTCCTCCTTAAGCAAGCAAGGTTGTGTCATCTACATAATGCAGGCTACTGAAGAATCTTCCTTTGATGCCACATTCTACTTTACAGAGGTCAGCTTCTTAAATTATTTGCTCAGTGTACACATTGAATAGGTATGGAGAAAGGCTCTAACCCTAACACACACATTTCTAATGGAAATAGATGACTTCAATTACACAAAGAATATGATAATTTCTGTGCTAGTAATAAGTTAAACAATTGAAAATGCATTGTCTTGACTTGGGCTGACTTTTTTGTTCTTGCAATGCCTAAGAAATCACATGTCAAAATATACACTGAAATATTGTTGTGGTCAATTGCCATCAAGTCGGCCACAACTCAGAGCAGTGGATCAAAACATTGCCCTATCCTGTACCATTCTCATAATCTTTGACATACTTGAGTCAACCATTAGCACCACTGTGTCAATCAATCTAGCTGAGGGTCTTCCCCACCTTTTCTGACCCTTCAACTTTCCAAGCATGATGTCTTTTTAGGGCTGGCCCCTTTTATAAACATGCCTAAAATACGCCAGGTGAAGTTTTACTATCCTTGCTTCCAAGAAGCACACTGATTGCAACTTTTCCAAGAAACAGGATAGCCTCTTAAATTAACATATAAGCTAAAAATGTTTTACACTTTCTCTTCAATTTTGTCGTTCATTTTTCCTCATCTCCTAAAATGCAACTCTAAAACATACTTTAATTCATCTGCCCAGTGCAGTGTTCATTATCTACCCACTCATTTCCTGTTCTCTGCTACTCACTGTGTCAATTCTATTTTATAAAAGCAGTCCAATACAGTATTTGTCTTTTTGTGATTTGATATATTTCACTCAGCATAATAAAAATGAACTGAATGAAAACAGAGGAAGGAAAGAACTATCTGAAAGAAATGCATGCCTAAGTATTATATGTATGGCAATTAACAGTCTGGAACAAGAACTGCATTACAAATTTAATTGGGGAGGGAGATGAAAGGGAGGAAAATGGGCATCAATGAATGAACGAAAACCCTACTTTCCTGTAAACTGTCATTAAAATCACAATTTCAAAAAGCGAGATGAAATTAATTTAAAAATACACTTTAATTTATCCTAGAGCAAACAATTCTGGGTTTCATCATATTTCAAACCTTTTGTTTTCTGCTCCTTGTAATATTAAAGCTTGCTTTTCTTCTTCAAGGTCTGGCCTTTCTCGGGCTACCACAATTCCCAGAAGCTGATCTTGCATTCCTTCAGAAGTTATCATGAAGTTCAACAGTGTTACCTACATGTGAAAAGATACACAAAAATGACATTATTTCCATTGAAAAAAAAGTTTCTGCTTAAAATAGACAAGTTGGAATGTAGATGAAATAACTTTAAACCAGGCTAGTTAGTATATTCATGAAAAGGTGAGCCAGCTGCTCCTCAGGAGAAAGAGGAGCAATCTCCTCCCATGTGCTTCATGTCTCTGAAAACCTGCTGGAGGATCAGGTACAGGTTAAAAACGATGACAACATTGTTAAATATAATGTCGTAGTGGCGGGTCAGTGGTATAATTCTTGCCTGCCTTGTGGGAGACAAGGGTACCATTTTCACAAAGATGCATCTTATGTGATGTCTCTACCTGTCTTATAAATGGAGGATTGCATTTGCCACAATTTGGAACAGTTCTCAGTGGAGAATCTAGACTGAGACAGACTAGGATAAAAGGCCTGGCAAACTACTCCTAAGAAAAGCCAAAGAAAACGCTATGGTTTATAAACAGCCAATCCTATTGTATACGAACTCACCTCAATGACAGCTAATAACAACAGGATTAAATGTTTGTTGTTGTTACGTGACACTGAGTTGTCTACGACTCATAAAAACCTTATGAACAACAGATCAGAACCTTACCTACAGATCTCTGCTATGCTGATTAAATATACAGACAAACAAATATTAGATTTTAAAAGTCACATCTTTGAGTTTTATTGGATACTTCTACTCTCTTATGAGTCAGTATGAATTGGAGTTCACAAAACAACCACCAAGTCTTTCATAGGCTGAAATGTATGTAGTAAGTGATAAAATTGTATTTGGTGACCAATTTATTTCTACTTCAAACTTTTTGAAGATTTTTGATAACTCTTTAAAACCAAAACCAATTAGAACCAGGTTGGAAGATGCCCTTCATACTGGCTGGCTTAGCATTTTAAGAATTCTAGAATGTCAAAAAGAAAGGAATCTTTCAGAGGGAGATAAAGGGAGAACAGTCTATAATTACTTGTCATGAGTAATGTGTTTTTACAATAGGATAATCAGTCACTACAGTGAAGGAAGGAATTTGCATTTCAATAGTGTCCATCAAGATGCTATCTGCTGACACCTCCCTCATCCAGTACCTACTGGCTCTTGTAAGCAGGTTGCTCTCTGTTCCTTACATCTTAAAATTCCCTATAGTCTGCTCAACAAGCTTAGGTCTCTCTTTAAAAGAAAGCACAAATCAAACAAATCATTCCCTTGTTCCCACAGCCCTTTCAAGTTCTTGAACTTCTTTATGACAATTTTAGATGCAATTCACCTCCACCTCATTTCCTTATTGAGCCCTTTACAATCTGCAATTCTCCAAACGCCAATAAGCCAGAGAAATTTTATTGCTCTGGTCACAATGAACACTTAATTGACCTTGGCTGAATGTCAAATCTCTTCTTTCTTAAAAATGTCTCCTCTATTTATTTTATGACCCCACTGTGGCTTTTTTGGCAAAAAGTTGCATTGCAATCCCAAAGGCAGGTGGTTTGAGTCCATCAGCTGCTCTGCAGTAGAAGGACAGTCTCCTCCCATGTGATCAACTGCCTCTTAAAATCTGCTGGAGAGTCAGCTGTGGGTTCTGACTCAATGTTACACAACAACAATCATTGATAATATGCCCTGTTATCTGTTAAAACCTGCACCTATCTTTAAAGCATCATTTTCCTAATGATTTTCTAATAGGTAACACCTCCACCCCTTCTCATGTGCCTTGCCTTACACCTAATCTAAACCCATTGTGGGTTCCAACATACACATGGTTATGAAATGCCTCATCTCTTCAGATGTTTGCTCTGCTTCAAATGTTCTTCCACTGTGTCCTACCAGCTTGATTCCTATCCATCTCTAACACGCAGTTTCTGTGTCACCTCCTCTTGGAAACCATTCCAGTCGATGTACTATCCCATGTCCAATGACAGTTTCTTTCTGCAGCTCTTCAGTGTCTTAACTGATTCATAGCACTGCCTGCACTGAATATAAACACAAGTTACTGCTGCTCCCTCCTGAAGACCTGAGTGTAAACAACTTCAGCAGAGGGATCATGTTTTATTTCATTTCAAGGCTCCAGTGTGTGAAATCAATGCTTCTTATAAATCATGATATGAACAGTGTCAGAATTCCCTGTTTATGGAGTTTCTTTCTTCTAGTTCTAGTTTTCCTAAAATCTTAGGCCTTGATTATTCTACACAAAGCACTTAATAGAAAATAATTTTAACGATGAATTAGACTGCTACAGTGAAGAGCTCTGGTAGCCTAGTGACAACAAGTTGTGTTGAAATCCTAAAGGCATGTAGTTCAAATGCCACCAGCTGCTCTGTGGGGGAAGTCTCCTCCTGTGCAATTAACTGCCTCTGAAAACCTGCCAGAGGGTCAGTTATGGGTCAGTTTTGACTAGATGGTACACAACAACAACAACAAACAGTGAAAAGTAAAGATACAATTCGGTACCTACTCTTAACAGAAGTTTAGTCTTGTTGGGGAAACAGAAATGTACACTACAACTAGTGGGATAAGAACTCCAGCAGAGTTAAGCATAGCACACTATAAGAGAGGATAGACAAGGTGAGCTTCATCTAGGACATGAGTTCAGGGAGACCTTATTAGATAGAGAATACTTGAACTGAATATTACAAGTAATTAGAATTTAGTTAAGGGGGGAAAAAGAAGGCACAATTGTATTCTTAATCCAAATCAAACCCATTGTCTTCCAGTTGACAATATGAGAAGTCAAAATCAGCCCAGGTGCTAATGATGGAACAGTGCATCTGTTTCTCATGCACAGGTTCAAACTGAAGTTGAAGAATATTAAAACAAGTTCACAAGAACCAAAATACAACCTTGAGTCTATGCTATTTGAATGAAAAAATCATGTTAAGAACTGGTTTGAAACATGAACATCAATGATTGAAGGCCAGAGTAATTATGGGATGACACCAAGGGAATTGTCCATGAAGAGAGCAAAAGGTCATTGCAAAGTCAGAGGAGAAAGAAAAAACCAAAATGGATGTCCAATTAGGAAAATTGCTTTAGAGTGTTGAGAAGGCAAAACAAAGAGAAGAGATGTTAAAGTAAAGGGATCTCTGGCGGCCCAGTGGCAAGAAGCTGCACTGTAATCACAAAAATTCATGGTTCAAATCCACTAGCTGCTCTGCTGGAGAAGGAGGAGTATGCACAGACAAAAATAAAGAAAATTTAAAAAATTTTTAAAAAAGATGCTGAAGTTAGAGAGCTGAACAGAAGATTTCAAAGAACTTAAGAAGACAAAGCAAAATATTATAAGGAAATGTATATAGAACTGAAGTCAGAGAATAAAAAGGAAAAGACTCACTCAGCATGTCTTAAGTTGAAAGAACTAAAAAACAAACTCAAGACTTGAATTGCAATATTAAGATATGTTATGGGCATAGGGTCATTATACCCTGCAGGCAACTCAATGGCACATCAACAAAAACATACTATATCAGTTGTTTTTAATTTTAGTCTCATGTTCAAAGTCAACAAGACCTCAGGGAGGGCCTTTGTATTTAAAAGTTGGTTGTTATTATATCTTGGAGGAACACTCTTCTAAGTTGTACAGCACTCTTCTGTCAATATGCTGTATACTGAGGTAACCTGGGGTTGTTGTGATGTTGAACCTTGTGCCACTGGGGTGTCAAATGCCATAACAGTTACCCATGGTGGACAGTGTTTGGTGGAGCTCCCAGTTTAAGACAGATTTGGAAGGAGGAGAGGCATTCACTTCCTAAACCATATGCCTCTGGAAACTCTATGAACTTTGATAAATAACAATGGTTATAGAAAAGCTTCAGGCTTTTTGTTCATAGGGCGCTATGAGTCATGTTTGACTCAATGACAACAACAACAACAATGGGCAAAATATTGAATGATCCAGGACACATCAAAAGAATGAGAGAATATATTGAGACACTGTAAAAAAAAATTGGTTGACACTGAAAAATTTCAATTGGCACTGAAGAAGTGCCAATGGTATTAAAGGAAGCAGTTTAAGCTGCAATGAAGGTATTGGCAAAAAACAAGACTCCAGGTATCAATGTGATATCAATCAACTCATCAATTTATGTCAGGAAATTTGGAAGAAAGTGACTGGAAGAGATTCATATTTGTTCCCTTTCCCAAGAAAGGTGATCCAACAGAATGTGGAAATTATCAAATAGTATCATTTATATCAAATGCAAGCAAAAGAAGAATAGCAGAAGAATGGATATTTGGTTTTATTGACTATGCAAAAAGGCATTCGACTGTGTAGATCATAATCAACTATGGCCACTGAAAAGAAAGGGAATTCTAGAACATGGAATTATGCTCATACCAAATCTACATATAAATATAGTCATTGTCTGAACAAACCAAAGGAGAGTTTAAACCACTGGATGGTTTAAAATCAGGAAAGGTGTATGCCAGAGCTGTATCACTTCTCCATACCTATTCCATCTACATGTTGAGTAAATCATTCAACAAGCTAGACTCTATGAAGAAGAATGTGGTATTAAGATCGAAAGAAAACTCATCAACGAACTGATACTACAACATTGTTTGCTGAAAGTAAGGAGGACTTGAAGTACTTGCTACAGAAGATCAAGGCCTACAGCCTCCAATAGGGATTATACCTCAACATCAAGAAGACGGAAGTCTCTACCTCTGGACTGCTTAAGAAATATGATAGACGGAGAAAAGATTGAATTTGTTAATGATTTCAACTTACTTGGACCCACAATCAACACCCTTAGTACTAGTAGTCAGAAGATCAGGAAATGGATTGCAAGTCTAATATCGGGGAACTCTCCAAGTTGCTGAGAAGCAATGATGTCAGTCTGAAGACAAAGGTGTGCCTGCTTCAGGCTCTGGTCTTTTGAATCAATTGCTCTGCATCTGAGAGCTGGACAATACATAAAGATGACAGAAGAGGAATTAATGCCTTTGATCTCTGGTGTTGGAGAAGAGCACTGAATTTCTGACTGTTGAAAGAAT